TTATGGTATTTTTATTATATTTGGATTAGTGTGCAGAGCTATGCAGCCTTCTGGTAGCATCAACAAAAAGYTGCGGCCCCTTCCATCATTTACGTTGCCCATCCCTGATATAGAAAATAGTGTTAAAGGCACAACTTGAGAAAAAGAAAACGCCTGCGACTATCCAGAACTTACCAGATCCCGTGCAGGTAGCAGAAGTTCAGTCGTTGCCAGAAGCTGCAGCCAAATCGGTCACTAATCCAGCAGGAGACGGCGAGTGCCCACAGAGACATCGACAGCTTGGCGAGACGCAGAACCTTCTGATCTGTGCAGCTGAGATAAAGAAAAGATTGGCGTTGGCAGGATGAAAAGCTGCTTGTTGTACAGTTAAAGACCAAAAAAAAAGTGTTCTCTTACCTTCTCATCTCCACAGCTACCATGTAAAAAAGGTGGATGCCGAAACAGTTTAAGACGTAGGCGTTGACTGTGGGTTTGAGGAAGGACAACATCGTGGTGACAATGGTTATCAGCAGGACCAGTTTGGAAAATGTGGACCTGAAGATGGAAAAAACAGACACATGTGATATTTATCTGAAGGACATAAATGCATAAGTGCAAAAACCTTTATCACCCTTTCACCTGCAGTTGGCAGATGATAAAATAATAGATTCATTGAGCAACAATAACGACAGATCAGGGTTGGAAGCAAATACAAAAGTGTAATAATAATTAATATTTAATCCAGTTATTAACTATCTTAACAAAATAGCGTCCCATTGCAAGACGTCTCCCAACTTGTGGTTAATTATTTAAACAGATTGGGTGGAGCTTCTTTCTAATTTTGCAGCTTCTTCTGTCTCGTTGTGGTGACTCCTGCAGAATCATATTATATCTTTATAACAATGACACCTATAGAGTTGAGTGAGGAACTCATCAGCCAACACAGTTTGGGTGTCAATAAAGGCTTCAAATAATCATTGTTTCCACCACACACAGTGTGAGGTGAAAACAATGTTTATTTGAAAGAATATTAAGCGTTACTGGGCTTTTTGTGAATCAACATCCCAATAAAGACAGATTAGATTATTTGGTGCGGAGCAAACTCACCTGTCTTTTATAAACGAGGGAAATAGTTTACGAGGGAACCAAACAGCATATCCAGCAGCCAACACCCACAGGATGGAGAGCTCATCCAACATCTGACCAACGAAGCTAAGAGTCATGTGAAAATATGCAGAGAAAAGCCCTGCAGAAAACATAACAAAAAACTTTACATGTGTAACTATTCCAACTTTCATATAGAAACAAAAGCAGAAAAAAAAGACAAATATGTTCTATTGACAGTACAAGGGATTTCTGGGTTTTGGTTTGACACTTAAAATATTTAAAATCTGCTTTTGGAAATGTAGCAAAATGAGCAGATCACACACTCCTAAAGTCACAGAATTTCTAACTTGTAGATAAATACCCAATGAGTCTTTCTACATGAATTGCAGACTCAATACATTAAACAATAACAAAGTTTTTGAGATTTAAATATGAGTATGGCATGACTGCACGTGTCTGTGTCTGTTGGGATGTTCAATTGGGGTGTAAGAAAATACTGATACAGTGAAATATCACAATATTTCATTTCCTGATRCTGTATTTATTCCCAAAGGATTGTCAATTTTTAATTAAAGCTTAATAGATGGATGTTGTAAGAGGAAATTTGAAACACAAATGCAGTTCTCACTGTTGTTCATAAAACTAAACTGAATTTAATCAAATTTTATGCATGTAATGCATGGTGTGTATTTTTTATTATAATATTATAAATACTGCCTTCTTTACTGTATCACAATATGCCATGAAATATCATGATATATCACCTTCCTTACAGTATCACAATAAATCGCAATATACTGTATCGGATTGTCATATATTGCCTTCCTTACAGTATTGAAATATATGTACAACAGGTTGCCTTAAGGCCCAGGCCTCCCTTGAAACAGAGATTTGTGATCTCAATGGGACTTGTCTGGTTAAATAAYGATAAATAAAATAAAATATTGCAGTTGTGACATATCACCTTCCTTACAGTATCGCAATATTTTGCAATATATCATGTTGTGATACGTATGTCGTCTTCCTTACAGGWTCGTAATATATCGCGAAATATCATATAGTGATATATCACCTTCTTTAAAGTTTCACAAAATATCATGGTATGTATATCACCTTCCTTAGAGTATCACAATATATTGCGATATATGATATGTATGATATATATGTGTATCAGGAAGATAGAGCACATAACCCCAGTTCTAAAGTCCTGACACTGGCTCCCTGTATCTCAGAGAACAAACTTTAAAATATTGTTATTAGTTTATAAAACACCTCATGGCTTGGCACCACAAAATATTAAAGATATGCTGTTGTTGTATCAACCTTCCAGACCTCTCAGGTCTTCTGGTTCTGGTCAGCTCTGTATCCCCAAAACCAGAACCAAACATGAAGAAGCAGCATTCGCACCGCACAAAAATTCTGGAACAAACACCCAGAAAATTGTAAAACAGCCGAAACACTGAGTTCCTTTAAATCAAGACTGAAAATCCACCTGCTTAAAGTTGCTTATGAAACATAATAAATGAAACATTAATCAACATTTTGATGTGTAACGATGGCACCTGACCCGCCTTTTTTCTCGGACGTGCTGAAGCCCCTCAAACTGTCTTGTTTCTCGGACGTGCTGAAGCCCTTTGAACCACCTTGTTTCTCGGACGTGCTGAAGCCCCTCGAACCGCCTTGTTTCTCAGACATGCTGAAGCCCTCGAAGCGCCTTGTTTCTCGGACGTGCTGAAGCCCCTCAAACCGCCTTGTTTCTCGGACGTGCGCAAGCCCTTTGAACCGCCTTGTTTCTCAGACGTGCTGTGCCCCTCGAACCGCCTTGTTTCTCGGACGTGCTGAAGCCCCTCGTACCGCCTTGTTTCTCGGACGTGCTGAAGCCCCTCAAACCGCCTTGTTTCTCTGACGTGCTGAAGCCCCTCAAACCGCCTTGTTTCTCGGACGTGCTGAAGCCCCTCGTACCGCCTTGTTTCTCGGACGTGCTGAAGCCCCTCACACCGCCTTGTTTCTCGGATGTGCTGAAGCCCCTCGAACCGCCTTGTTTCTCGTATGTGCAATACAAATAAAGTTCGGTCAGTCGGTCAGTTGGTCGGTTGGTCGGTCGGTCGGTCAAACGGACGGACGGATGGATCAAATTCTTACCAAAACACAGCCCTAATGTTAAACACGAACAACACGGACAAAAGTTGACTTGCCTACAAAAATCATCATGATCCAGACCGTGTGGATTGACAGGCTCCTCTCTTTGGCGTAAGGATGCATCAGGTAGAGCATGATGGGAGAAATGATGAAGAAAAAAAAGTTGCTTATCTGCAGGAAAAACATGAATTTATTAATCAATGAAACAACATATCCTGAATATAACAGGGTTTTCTAAAGGATGCTAATGTTTCTGTGGAACTTACTGTGTTAAAATACTCCACCACATGTTCCGAGTGTTTGTAGTTGTCTTCACACCAGTCGAGTTCTGAGCTCTCATAGGCAAAAAAGTCTGCAATCCTCTTACTGGAATAAACACCTGAGGGGCAGAGAATGAGAAAACAATGACCACACGCCTCAGGAGGCGCACGCCTGTTGTTCCACACATTCAAATAAAGGTTTTCATATCATATTTCTCCTCACAGGACATTTGAATACAGAGTGGTTATGAAAATTAGTCTCAGAGTTGAGTCACGAAGAAGAGAAATGCCTTTCTGATTGTTTTTGTAAACACTTTAAAAGTTTGTCTTTTAAAATTGGCTATAAATCTTTAAAAGTTAATTATTACCTTTCTTGTTTCACCTTAAAGACTAAATTTCAACTAAACATTTTCAATCAAAGCACAGACTTGAATTATAATGTTTGAATGAGATATTTAATGTTCAAAAGTTTTTAATTTCTTGTTTTTACTGTGGCAGCAACCGTATCTGATCTCAGCTGATGCATTTTTTTTTAGGTTTGTTCAATTTTAAAGATACTTTTCCTGCAAATATAATTCCCATTATTCCTTTTTAAGTTCAGCATTTAGTGGATCTCAGAATGTTTTTGGTTTTTTGTTTAATGCAGCTTCATACCATCTTGTCCAAGGTCAGATTTAGTCAGCTGAAGCACAAAAGAAAACAAAATAATTTAAAAAATGTGCAAAGGTGTAGTTTTTTTCTTTCTCTAATTGATCTGCATAACTGCATTTAATGAACTGGAGCATTTCTGCTCAGTGTACACATTTTCCACATACATGTGTGATATTTTATTTTTATTTATTTTTTTCCATGTTGGGGGAGGGAAAGGTATCATCTGTTTTTATATTGTGGGTTTATTGTGTGTATAATTTTGTACAGCACCTTGAGCTGYTTTTAGTATGAAGGGTGCTTTATGAACGAATACAAATTCAAAATCTGCTGGATAGACGTTGATTGTGTCGAACAACTTGGAGTCCTCAAATCTAAAGAACAACTACACCAAATAAAATATGTTGCTCTGACCAATTGATCCAGCCAAAGCGACTGAGAAGAAACGTCAGGAGAATATTTGCAGACAACATTTCATCCAATCGARCAGCCACACACAAAGGTTTCATCAGGAGGTGGACCTGTGATTTCCCAGTTTCTGTCTGTTGGAGCACATCCGTTTTTGTTTGTTGAAGAAAATCTGCTTTATATTCCAGATTTCTACAATATTTAATGTTATTGTATTATAAGCACACGTGAGAATGAGCTGGCCACCCTAGTGGCCACCCCAGTTTTATCCTCTTGAGTACCCAGGTTTTTCCTTTTTCAATTCCCCTACATATTAAGGAATAGAACCTCAAATATAAAAACAAACACTGATTTTTTTTAACAATTAAGAGTTAAAAACATTAATTTATATTTTATTTAAAATAAAAAATTAAATTAAAATGTAGCAC